TTTCATCCATTTTCTTCCTTTTTTCGTTTTGCGCATCCTATTTATTCCCTATGTTTTCATATAACTTCCGCCATTTACTGCCACCTGCTAAATTTTTCCTTAGTCTTAAGCATAATAATCATAATAATATTACTGGCTATACTGCATTTAAACACTCGGCAGGGCACACCATTATATTATTTTCTCCAGTAACGTGTGGACCCAACGACACATATATCACTGATATGAAAAAACGTATACTTTGGTCTACTGACGTCCAGTTCGTCGGGACCTTGCATTAGGAAAATCACAGCGGGACTAATAACGTGCCGTCCTCTTTTATTTTCATTGTGCTGATGATCAGTGCTACCATACTGCGTGTTATAAATATCGTCCTACATAGGGATAATAAGCATGGATACGCTTGAAGGAGCCCTTACCATTTCTAAGGACGCTAAATGTTCAAACTTCTAAATGGCATAATACTTTTTAAAATATAGTCAAATGCCTTCACGTTTAACGATACCATTCATAAAGGTTACGCATTAGTTACCTTCAATCCCCATATATTATAGCATGTTAGCATCAAGTAGTCATGCACGCTTTTATAAATGCGCATTCCGCCGTTGCCAGCATTAAGGCACTAGCATATTGCCCAGAGAAACGATATGCCTTTTTACTTCCCATCCACCTTCGCTCACTTATCTTACTGTTCCCTAGGCATTCCGATTTGCAGCCGACGCTTCCGCTCTATGATTTCCGTTAGAAATACACATTCTGTAATAAGTTCCTTTTTATAAATAGATATGCCGCATATTCCCAGGGCTTACTTGTCTATTTTTGCCACGGTCCGTTTTACCGCGTTACTTACATATTAATTCGCAGAGTCATTGCCGTTCTTGCCACACCCTATTTCCCCGGAGGTTAAACTAGGCATTTTCTGCCTTAGGTAGTTTACGCAAAAACGAAGTAACATGGCAGCATGTGAGGTAGCAACATATGCACTTCCCGTTCACTTCACTTGTATCACCCTTCATATGCTCCATTAGAAAGCTTCTGCTCAATTTCTGATTAATCGAATGCACTAGTTACTTATCCAATAACATAGGTCCACTTTAGACACCGCAGCGGGATTCTAATCAACCGGTTATGGGTATAGTATGGTGGAGGGTGGTATGGTACGCCAGGCTCTAAAAGGTGGTTAGATTGACGGTGAAGGTAAAAATGTATATAAAGGAAGATGGACCCTGGCGGATTAGTCTGCGTAATAGGATATAAATGGATGGCAAATAGAAACTACTTTGGTGATTGCTCGGGGTGGATGACACTAGACAATGTGGCTGTGGCGCCAACGATAGAAGAGGCCGTCATGGCGGACGATATGGGTATGTTTTATCGCTTGTTGTGTTCCTTTTTGTTTAAATTTGCTGACATGGAATAGCATGTGAAGAAATTTTAAAGTAGCGGATGCGAAGTTATCCTACAAATAGCAAGCGTTGACCTTGCCCTCAAAATTGATTGGCGAATATCTTCCCTAAAAGCCCTGATCAGTACGCAATGCTTTCGACGAGCGACAGCATGTTGTTCCATTGTCTTCTGTGCCGTCGCCGTCTATCTACGCGTCTCAAGGTCAATGAGGCGACATCGAGCAAGGTCTGGCTTGGTAAACAGCGGTTATGGTCCTTCTCACATCTCTTAATCGGAAAGCGGAGTTACTGATGAGGGATATGGGAGTCTGTATTGATGTCGGCTATTGGAGGAAGAATCGCAACCAACCTCAATGCTGCCGATGAACATTCCGACTGAGGTGTTAGCAAATGTGTCGTGTGTCCCAGCGGTCCAGAATGACTCACAGTCTGTGTGTATCTCTCTCTTTTCCTCCTCTCTCGTTGTTGTTGTTGAGAGAGATAACACACAGACTGTGAGTCATTCTGGACCGCTGGGACACACGACACATTTGCCAACACCTCAGTCGGAATTTCATCGGCAGCAATTGAGGTTGGTTGCGATTCTTCCTCCAATGAGCCGACATCAATACAGACTCCCATATCCCTCATCAGTAACTCCGCTTTCCGATTAAGAGATGTGAGGAAGGACCATAACCGCTGTTTACCAAGCCAGACCTTGCTCGATGTCGCCTCATTGACCTTGAGACGCGTAGATAGACGGCGACGGCACAGAAGACAATGGAACAACATGCTGTCGCTCGTCGGAAGCATTGCGTACTGATCAGGGCTCTTAGGGAAGATATTCGCCAATCAATTTTGAGGGCAAGGTCAACACTTGCCATTTGTAGGATAACTTCGCATCCGCTACTTTAAAATTTCTTCACATGCTCTTCCATGTCAGCAAATTTAAACAAAAAGGAACACAACAAGCGATAAAACATACCCATATCGTCCGCCATGACGGCCTCTTCTAACGTGGCGCCACAGCCACATTGTCTAGTGTCATCCACCCGAGCAATCACAAAGTAGTTCTATTTGCCATCCATTTATATCCTTACGCAGACTAATTCGCCAGGTCCATCTTCCTTTTATACATTTTTACCTTCACCGTCAATCTAACCACCTTTTAGCCTGGCGTACCATACCACCCTCACCATACTATACCCATAACCGGTTGATTAGAATCCCGCTGCGGTGTCTAAAGTGGACCTATGTTATTGGATAAGTAACTAGTGCATTCGATTAATCAGAAATTGAGCAGAAGCTTTTCTAATGGAGCATATGAAGGGTGATACAAGTGAAGTGAACGGGAAGTGCATATGTTGCTTACCTCACATGCTGCCATGTTACTTCGTTTTTGCGTAACTACTAGGCAGAAATGCTAGTTTACTCCGGGAAATAGGTGTGCAAGAACGGAAATGACTCTGCGATTAATATGTAAGTAACGCGGTAAACGGACGTGGCAAAAATAGACAAGTAGCCCTGGAATATGCGCATATATATTTATAAAAAGGACTTATTACAGAATGTGTATTTCTAACGGAAACATAGAGCGGAAGCGTCGGCTGCAAATCGGAATGCCTAGGGAACAGTAAGATAAGTGAGCGAAGGTGGATGGGAAGTAAAAAGGCATATCGTTCTCTGGGCAATATGTAGTGCCTTAATGCTGGCAACGGCGGAATGAGCATTTATAGCGTGCATGAATACTTGATGCAACATGCTATATATATGGGATTGAGGTAACTAATGCGTACCTTTATGAATGGTATGTAAAAGTGAATGCATTTATATATTTTAAAAGTATATGCATTTAGAAGTTTGAACATTTAGCGTCCTTAGAAATGGAAGGGCTCCTTCAAGCTATCCATGCTTATATCCCTATGTAGGAAGATATTTATACACGCAGTATGGTAGCACTGATCATCAGCACTATGAAATTTAAGAGGACGGCACGTTATTAGTCCCGCTGTGATTTCCTAATGCAAGTCCCCGAAACTGGACGTCAGTAGACCAAAGTATACGTTTTTTCATATCAGTGATATATTTGTCGTTGTCCACACGTACTGGAGTAAATAATTAATGGTGTGCCTGCCAGTTTTAATGCAGTTTAGCCAGTATTATTATTATGATTATTATGCTTAAGACTAAGGAAAATTTAGCAGGTGCAGTAAATGCGGAAGTTATATGAATCATAGGGAATAATAGGATGGCAAACGAAAAAAGAAGAAAATGGATGAAAATAGTTTATTTTTTTCAGACAAATGTCACACATATATACACACGACTATATGTAGCTTTATGTTCTTGCGAAAGTAACGGGTGCATAGTAAGGCCATACATTTGCGTCACAGGTGGCATTTGTTTGTTCACTCAAGCCTGTAAGGCTAGGTAACACTAGTAAGAGACCATGCGCGAAAGTAAAAGCGGATATCAGAAGGCAGTTAGAGTCGGACACAGCGGACTGTTTTCCATGGGCTACAATAGGATGTGGACGGATGAAGCGGGACGAGAGCGAAAACGTAAGCGCGGGAACTTACAAGGTAGTCGAGTGACGATCCGGTTGTATGGAAGCTTAAAACAAGAAAGAGTGATGTACAATCGGTCAGCAAGTAAATTGTACATGGAAGCTAGCAGTTATCTTTTAGGTTGCTACAGAGCTCCCACTAGAAGGCTGAACATAGAAAGCCTTCGAAATCAAAAAGGACTGTTGAAACAAGGTTCGTAAGGCAAAATCGTGTCGAGCAAAAATGAGTGAGCGTTCGTGTCAAGTGGGGGTCCGTCGGCAGTCAGAGTCCGCTGTGCCGTTTGTGATTTGTTAATTGTTGGTTGCAGGGCAGGGTGCATTTCGGCGAGTCGTTGGAGCGGGCTTGCCAAACTAAAAATACCGGCTAGTCCAGAAAAAGGCCGACAGGACCTCAACCTCCGCTGCTGTCAACCGGTGCGCTTGGCAGTGTTCTCTCCACGCCGCAACCCGCCTTGCGGCAAAACGACCCTCGTCCCAAAAAGAAACGGCCATGGTCCCACGGAGAAGCGACGCTCGTCCGGCGAAAAAACGACACGCTTCCGGCGGGGAACCGCCGACCGTTCCGTGGAGAAGAGGCACTCGCGCGGAGACGCGACCAGCGTTCGTGCATGGGTTTTCGAAAACATGCCTCGTGTGGGCCAGTCGATCGAAGGAGAGGATTTGGGGCATGCACAGACGAGGAAATAGAAAAACACGCGGAAAACGTTAAAAAGAACAAACAAATGCTTTGCGTGCTTGAATTTTTTAGTTTTTGAATTTTTTCGAATTAGGTTTTTGGGAGGTTTTTGATATTTTAGTTTGTTTTCAGAACGTTACTCGACCAAAAATGAAGCAAATATATGCAGTATTTACAAAGTTAAAAGTATTTACACTATACATGGTCGGAGAAACGTACGGGTTTGCGCACCTCCCGACCACGGCGATTGGTCGTGGAAGGCGGCGGACTAGATTCGGGAAATATGGGGATGGCTGAGGCATGTAGACCGCGATCGTTGTCTGGTAGAACTGCACTAAGATGCTGAAAGCTGGTGCGGTGAGTTGTGAAGTCG